CTGGTGACTACCTCGCCATCGACGCGGCTGCGTGCGCCAGGAATCCTGATGGAGAGCATTACCGTGCACATCGTGTCAACAACATCGTGATCCCCGATGGGAGATGCGTTTTCCCCGTCAAGGTCTCCTCCGGCGCCGCAAGCCAGAAGCACGTGAGTTGATATCTTGTCGGACGTCCCGCCCGCTGAGAGAACCGGTCAAATGCGACCCAGTACTACTCTATCCAGCTGAATAGGGCGATCCCAGCAACGCGAAGCTTCCCGAGCCGGACTCTCCCGAGACTTCCGGCTCCGGAGCACGGCCTCCTGAATCATTCCCGAGGCGCCCGAGCCTGTGGCTCCTGCTCCCTAGCCCGGCTACTGGGAACAACGCGGTGAGGATATCTTACGACACATTCGCGCGCCTCGTAGTCAGCTTTTTCGCACCGACGGTGTGATCGGGGTTCCAGTTCCGGTGGATTTGCTCGATGTCATCCGCAACTCCGAGACCGCGTTCATTTTTGAGGGAGAGAAATTCCGCGATGTGTGTGGTGGAAGGTGAGACTGACCACCGTCATCTAAGCGAGCCCTGGACCGAAATTTTTCGCTTCTATGGGCGGCCCGAAAGCATGCCAGACGGCAAGATGAACATTCGTGGTCGCCAGGCCCGCGTCCAGGCCACATCCCGACCATATCATGTTTTGCTTGACTTTTGGAAAACCTTGTCCAAGAAAGAGCGACTCGCCGAAAAAAGAGTTCGCCAAAGACGTTCTCCGAGCACTGGAGACACGTCATAGCTCCGCTCTTCGCGTCTGGACTCGATCCGTCAAACATGCTCATCGCTTCCGGAGCAACAATGGTGACGTCCCCGCATGGGACACCGTCGAAAGACGCATCACTCACGATCTACATAGAAACGCCGTTTTCCGAGACGAGAGTGCGAGAGGCGTCACCGACGACGACGTCCTTCGCGACGCCCTTCCTGACGGACCACGTGCCATCATCACCGTTTTATACTACCGCCCGCGACCGGAAGCAATCCTCGTGAGTGTTGCGCGCTCGCGTGCGCTGTCGGACATCAACGGAACAGTGCCTATGATGCCGCGTGCACCTGATTCCCGTCAGGAACACAGGAGCAATTTGGACTCGACTCACTGGGAACGGCACTATCTCGTCGCCCGCAACCTCGTCACACGCAACCTTACCAAGAAGGAAGTTGCGGCTGAACCACGAGCACAAGACGCACCTCGCAAATAATCTGAACGACTGGAAAAGAAGCAAGCCTAGGTGTTCGATGCGGTTATGGAACGCGACTACGTCGTCCGCAACGCACAGAAGGAATTCAACGCAGTTCACGTCGCCAACATGCTAGAACTTTCTGTCAAAGATGCTGAAGTACCCCCGGAACTTCAGAAGTGCAAGGGCCGCGTCGTGGTCCAGGGCGATATTGTGAAAGATGAGAGCGGCCTGGCTGCTGTAGTCGCCGATGCTGCATCCAGCGCCTCGCACATAGAGGCCTCGAAGCTATGCGACGCCACTGCGATGTTGCCAGGCAGCGGCGGCGAGCCAAGTGATGCCCCCGGAGCGCGCGCGCAGGCCTTGCTCTATGGTGACGGTCGAATCGACCCCGTTGACACATGCATTACTTCGCCCAAGTGGCGGCGACGCCATTCAGAAGTTTGGCATGCCGTGCGCCCCTGTGGCGCGCCACAGGCGGAAGCGGATCTGCTGGCCTTCGGCCCATCCTGTCACCTTGTCTGTTTTGCAGGTCAGGGTCATTTCGGGGCCAGATCATCTTGGCCCATTTGATAGCGCTCTTGGCTCCGAAAGAATCCGGGGAACTCCAGGGGGCCGCGAGAGGCGCTCCAGGGCCCCCCCGGAAAGTTCGGAGGATTTGCGGTCTGGGCCCCTCGATGCTCCATCCTGAGGAGTGAGGACCGGCGACTACAAGGGGTCCGGGGCACCCCCGGTCGGACCTCGCGACACGGTGGCGGATATGATTGCATGTCGATGGGCGGGGCTTGCCGCGCCGCTAAGGGGCCCGTGGCGCTCCGCCCGTCAGGTCCACGCGGAGTCGCGCAGTTTCGAAAGTGGAGGTCTGCTCGATGCCTAAAGAAATGCGGTGAAAGACCCGACGTTCGACGGGGGCGCCAAGCGCTCTGCCTCGCCCGCGTCTCTCGCGGGGCGCGCGGGGACCCCGCGAGGGCCCGCGGGCCGGGCGCGCGCGGCGAGGGACGGACCTGAGGCCGCCGATGTGGAGGCCCCCGAAAAAAAATGGCAATCATCACATCGGTGCGACAAAAAACGCATTTTTTCGCAACGCGTCGTGCAGAACGAACCGAGGGCTGAACTCTCTCCTGTCTGTTGAGACTGCCATCTGCGCAGGTTTCGCCGCTTTCGCGAGCTCCTGGGAGGTCCAACGGAGTGGCGTCCTACGCGGACAGAATCTGGACCTCGCCCGCGCAGGTGGCTGTCAAGTCGTCAAGTTCGTATGTCCGGAGTGATGGAGTTTTACGCGTACAGCATCCAAAACATCACGCTGGACTTTGCCTTCGGTTTGGGCCGCAAGTTGCGCAAGTGTCACCACTTTCGTGAGGCATTGGGAGGTCCAGCCGAGTGGCGACCTACTTGGGCCCAATCTAGATCTCGCCCTTCGTGAGGGCTGCAACTGGACACGTGGAAGGTCCAGGGTCCAAAGGAATGACGTCGCACCTGGGCCCGCGCTAGAGACTTCTGACGTCCATGTCTTTCCGCGGCATCTGGGTGATGCCGAACGTTCGCGAAGTTGTGGTTCGTCTAATTTTCCAAATAGGCTTGCCTTATAGGAGTTCTAATTCAAACCCTAGAAATTAGCCCGGTGCCCCCCCCTACTTCCTATGCCCCTCATAATTCCTATGGCTATGGCTTTGTCTATGCCTATGCCTCCCCCTAGCTCCTATGCCTACGCATATGCCTATGCCTATGCCTATGCCTATGCCTATGCTTATGCCTATGCCTATGCCAATGTCTTCTCCAGATAGGTTTGCCCGATTGGAGTCTTAGCTCATCATACGCAATCGGTCTTGAGGACCCCCCTTGTTCCAATGCCCCCCCTCGTATTTCCAATGGCCCGCCCCCTCTCCCCTTTTTTTGTCCAATGCCCCCAACCTTATTTCAATGGCACGCCCAGCTATTTCCAATGGCGAGTCCTATGGATTCCTATGGATTCCTCTGAGTCGTATGGATTCGTATGACTATGCCGATGCCTATATGCCAGTGTCTATATGCCCAAGCTTACTCTTATGGCTCTCCATACTTGCATGACTGCTCGCTTCTTTTTGCTCGCTTCTTTCTGCTTGCCATTTCATGCATGGCTTCCTCACCTCCCGTCCTCCCCTCCTCGTCTTCTCTTTGTTTCGCTCTCCTCTTGTCCACCGGATTAGTTGGAGTCAACACCTGCTGATATTCAATGAGATTATGAGTCTCCTTTGTGAGCTCAGAATGGGCGTGGGGTTTTATATTCACCGCTTGCTATGGGGTTTCCTTCTCCTCTCCCGCCTTGCCCTTTTTCCCGCAAAGGGTTGAAACATTGCCATTTTGTCCAGGCCGCCTGGGGAGCGCGCGCTTGAATGTGACGCTCGGTGAGGGCGCTCCTCCTCCCGTCCTCGTCCTTGTCCTCCTCCTCGTCTTCCTCCTCCTCGTCCCCTCCTCCCTTCTCTTCGCTCCTTCCCCTTCGCTGGCGTTGAACCGCAGCTCCGTTGTCTAGGCCGCCTGGATGGCGCGCGCTTGACAGTGACGCTGGGCGAGAGCGATTCTCCTTCCGCCCTCTCTCCTCCCTTGGTTCCCCTCGCCGTCTGCATACGGTGGGGATGTTGGTTAAGGGACGTGCCCAGGAGGTTTCAGACCTTTGAGATCCGATGAGGGCGGCAGTGGTATCCATGGCCATGCTTCAGCTGGTGTTCCACCAGCTCCCAGACCCTGGATTCCTTGTCCAATGGTTCCTTATCCAACACCGTTACTGTACTCGGGCGTCTGTCCAGGCGGGCAGTCGACCTGACTGTCCACTCGGTGTTCTTTTGCTTTGGCATGCGGTGGCCGTGGTACGCCGTTCGGAGGCGCGGGGGAAATTCATTTGCTCCTCCGCCTCCTCTTCCCTCCTTTGCACTCCTCTGCCCTCCCTCCTCCCTCCTCCCTTCTCGCTCTCCAGCCTGCTGTCACTTCGGTTGGGACGGTCGTCGTTCGTTAGGGACTATGCCCAGGAAGCTTCAGACCCTGGAGGATCCCTTATCTGATGAGGGTGGTGGTGATATCCATGGCGCGATTGGAGCTCCACCACCTTTCAGATCTGGGTTCCTTATCCAATGGTTCCCCATCCAATGTCCTCACCGTATCGTGCCAGTGTTGTGCGGTTTGGTGTGCACCGTGCGCTGTCGATGTGCCCCACCTTTGTTCCGTGGGTGTCGTGGTCATTCACGGCCCCGCTTTGGGTCTGGGCATCGACTCTGTACCTCCTTGCTGAATATCAAGACGTGTTTCCCACACTCTGATGTTCAGTCGTTTTACTTCACACCATTCTGCTGAAGGTGCCTCCTAGAGAAGAGAGAGAGAGAGAGAGAGATGGTGATACATATGTATGTTTATATATATATATATATATATATGTATGTATATTTATAGATATATGTATGTATATATATGTATAAAGTGAGAGAGAGAGAGAGAGAGTGAGAGAAAGTAGGGGGAGGCACAACAATCTTGCCCCTGGGGCCTACAGACAGAAGCTTCGGTGGAGCACTCCAGGCTACCATCGCCCAGAGGGTTTTCAGGATCATGTGTGCCTGGCAAGAACATTCCACAGGTGTGCCATGACGTCTGTCAGCACTTGGGTGGCGGTGTCATGGATTGTCGATGTGCCAATCTTCAGGGGAGGGGCGTCAAAGGGGCCGTAGCCTTTCTGGCTGAAGCCCTTGCGCCTCACGACATTTGTCGCAGCCCAGCCAGCTTGCCGCCACTGCATACCTGTGCCTCTTGAGCCATTGAGCGATGACTCCCCCCAAGGCATCGCAGTCAGCCTGGGAGACGCCGCCCAGTACACCGCGTTCTTGCCGCAGAATTCCCTCCACGCCGCCGCCTTTGAGACGCGCAAGCTCTGAGCCTTTGCTATCGGGCCTGGAGCGAAACTGCCTGAGGCGAGTGCGCTCGGCCCTCGAGGCGGATCCAGACGCGGCCAGGCTGCCGCTCATGGAGCCGCGCTGCGAGTGGCCGCTCTGCGCCGCGATCCGCCTGGGCTGCAGCGGGGACATCGTCAGGCTGCTGACTCAGAACGGCGCGATGGTCGAGGTGACCAACGAGCAGGGGCAGTCCCCGCTCCAGCGTCTCAGCTCTGGGGCGGCGAAGCAGGTCATCGGAACACAGTTCGCCGACTTAACTTCTGGCATCGACGACGGGGCAGAATGGATGTGCGAGTCCATCGCGCAGTACGAGCTGGGCGTTGCCATGGCGTTGATCATTGCGGGTGCAGATCCAGAGGCGCGCCACGGTGACGCTGGCGGGGAGCAGTGTTCTAGCCTGGAGCTTGCCCGGCGCGCTGGCAAAGAACATCTGGTCAGCCTGTACATGCAAAATCCAGCGCGCGACCTGGGGTGCCGTGGCCACTTGCTGACCGCTTGACGCCATGGTAGACCCGACCTTGGATATTCACCCGTGTACAGTGAAGGAAGAAGTTTCTATGCTTGAGAGGTGCTCGGTTTGCGAAAGTGCGGGACCGATGCTCGGCTCTCATCGCATCCGGCCTTCCCACCACCATTCTAACTTCAGCAGTGTGAGTAGTTCCAGGGCAAAGGTCCGAGGCACCTACGGTTTCAGCTTGTTGTGCTCAGTTTGGGTGACCGAGGGACCGATGGGTCCAATGCTTTAAATTCGCTCTCCCTCGTTCCACAGCCCACGATGGCCTAGGGAGGTCTTGAGGCCCCAGGGTTCCTCTGGAGCTCCCAGGACTCCCGAATTCTTCAACGCTAGCAGTTCTTGGCCCTCCAGGATGAAGCCAGTTTTCTCGAGCTTCCGCCGAGCGAACTCTGACTGTCGAAGCTCCGACCCGACGCGACGCGACCTATCGAGCCAACGCCTTTTCCCTCACACCTTATGCTCTTCCTCAGGAACGCTTGCTTCGCCCGATCTGGGCAAGGACCACACAGGGTCAACTGACTCGGAATGGCACGAGCATGGGCATCTGGCGCCTACTCCTGTTGATATTGTTTTTTGACGCGATCTTCAAGGTCATGGTCGCTGGCGTAATGTACAGCTCTCCTGGCGACCTTGTTTTTGGCAAGGGGGACTCTACCAGGGTCGGAAGAGTCAAAGGCCACTCGTACATATGGCAGCATCGGCAGCTCATACGGTGCTCGAGCACAATTCGGATGATCTTCAAGGTCATGGTCGCCAGAAGAATGTACAGCTCTCTTGGCGATTTTGTTTTATACACGCTCTTGGCAAGGGGGACTCTACCAGGGTCGGAAGAGTCAAAGGCCAATCGTACAGATGGCAGCACCGGCAACTCACACTGTGCTTCGGCTGGCCTTTCCATGGTGATGATCAGTTCGAGTTCGGGTTCTGTACTTTAGTGTTTTCCATATATGCCTCTGCGAGCACAGCTCCAATGCGCTGCCCTGATGGTCGCAGGATGAATGTGCAGCTCTCTTGGCGACCTTGTGTTATACACGTTGGTGGCAAGGGGGACTCTACCAGTCTACCAGGGTCGGAAGAGTCAAAGGTCAATCGTACATATGGCATCACCGGCAACTCACACTGTGCCTCTGCTGGCGGTTCCATGGGCATGATCAGTCCGCGTGTGGGCTCTGTACTTTAGTGATTTTTGTTATTGTCTCTGCGAGCACAGCTCGTGTGCGTTGCCCTGTGCTTGCGCAGCTGGCAGTGCCAAGGTTACCACGGCCTCCATTTTGGGGCGAAGACCGTGTAATGATTTTTATTTCTTCCATACTCTCCTCTTTATTTCGACTGCTCTGCCCTCGAGTAACACATCAACTACATAATCATACACTTTCGGAGCTCCGCGCTTATTTCTTGGATCTGCGCTGGACCTCCCTGGCGGCGCCTCCAGCGCCGAACCTAGCGCGCTCCGCGCGCAAGGGAATGGGGTCAGCGCCGATCCGATAATTCTGCGCGTGTTTTTTTTTTTTTTTTTTTTTTTTTTTTTTTTTTTTTTTTTTTTTTTTTTTTTTTTTTTTTTTTTTTTTTTTTTTTTTTTTTTTTTTTTTTTTTTTTTTTTTTTTTTTTTTTTTTTTGTAATATATATATATATATATATATATGATTATTTTTTGTTTTATATATTTTTTTATGTTATATATGTAACATATTAAGTTTCTGTGCACAATCTCCCACACTTCGTCGTAGCCCTGTCTCCATTGCTACCCGCTGACGCGGTTGCTCTCTGGCTGGTGCCGCTAGTCTCCCTGGCCCCGCCGTTGCGCGCAGGAGGCCACGATGCAAGGGTGACGTCGGGGGGCTTAGGAGCGGGGGTCGAAGGACAGAAAAAGGCATCAGCATAAAATGTTGCATGTCCGTGCGGATTTCCTGGGCCCGCTACAGGGGCCCGAGCGGGACCTCCATCCTTCTTGGGCATCGGAGTCCTTCCGTGCTTCCTCCCTCCATTCTTCATTCTTTGACATTTTCTCGTGTGGCCCCGTGAGGCGTACCACGCGTAGGCCCACTACGTAGCTTGCACAGATGGATCGCGATCCTTGTCATACTATCATCCGCTTGGGATGAGCCCAGTGATGTCGGCAATGTATTCGGATGGGTTGGTTACGTCTTGGACATTCCTCTTAAGACCAGAATGTTAGCCAGCGTGGACCCCAAACACTGTGCTGTAGTATATTTTTATATGTGATATGTGCTTTGTAGCCTACGCAGTGCACCCTGTGCAGCGCAATCAGTGCAGTGCCAATCAATGCGGCGTAATTTCCGCAATGCAGTCGATGTGGTGCAATCTTAAGACGCACCTATTCTATGTTATGCTATGCCCTTCTGTGCTATGCGAGTGGACGAGTGCGAGCGGACGAGTGCGAGTGGACGAGAGCAAGTGGCCGGGTGGCGAGGAGCTGGTTGGACCCGCACCGAGGCCCACATCAACTGGTGGTGACGGACGGCGGCGACGGGCTGCGACGAGCCAGCCGGACTAGCACCGGGGGTCTAGTTACCTTAGAGCACAAGCAAGAACCCCTAAGTGCAAGCACTGTTTGGGGAAACAGTTGTAATGAATCGCTGGTAAGACACCGCAGTGTTTTTTTTGTGGACTTTGCCGTCGTAGCTGGCCCCCAGAGAACCTTCAAAGGCCCAACAGATCCCCAAGAGGGCCCCAGGACGGGCCCTGAGGATATCTTGGGACATGTGGAATGTCTGGATTCCGAAAGCCGGTCCCAGGGCTCGGCGTCAGGAGGAAGAGTTCCCGAGAGCTCCCGAGAGCTTTGGGCCTGGGGGTCCATGGCCTTCTAGAGTTTTCGGAACGCTCAACTCTCACAGTGAGGAGGGGCCTCAAGGTCCTCAGAGTACTTCATCACGCGCTTGATGGAGGGCAGGAGGTTTTCAAAATGTGGCTCTATCCTTAGCGCTGCGCGCATTCGTTTTAAACATTTGCAAGAGTTTCACTGCTTGAGGGCGGATAGTTTCAAAATGCGGCTTTCGCCTTAGCGCCGCGCACATTCGTTGTAGAAAGTTGGAAGAGTTTCACGGATTGAGGGTTCTTTGTCAGCATGTGGCTCTCACTAACGAATAAAAATGCAAGAGTTTCACGGGTTCTCATGATCAGCGTACCAGGCATGGTGTTTCGGAAGGATTCAGGAGTTTGAGGGTGCAACAGTTACATTGATTCGCGGTGTTGAAGTCCTACGAATGGCGTTCTGGCACGGTTCAAGATCGTCAAGACGCGACAGTCAGGTTGTTCCGTGGCGTTGAAATCCCGAAAACAATGTTTTTGCATGTTTCAGGGTCTTCAAACGGTTGTTTTCCAACGAGGCAGTTCCCACAGTGGAAATGAACCGTTGTGAGGGCCTATAAAGAGGGAGCTTGGAGGGAGTGTTTATTCCAACATCGTTGATGGCTCTTGGGTTTACGCTGGTTCTCCTCCTCCTCCTCCTCTTCTCCTCCTCTCTTTCGCTCACCCTTTGCCGCCGTTGTTCCCATATCTCAAGATGGGGTTTTCTTTATTCCCCATATCCAAGGGATGGCGTTCTTGTTATTCTCTGACCGCGCTGGACCCCTCATCATCATCCCTCCCCTCCCTCCTCCCTCTCGGCACTGGACGATGATGATGAGTGCCATGATGATGACGATGCTTGTGGTGAGAATATGATGTGAATCTGATGGTGATTGTGAATGACTGATGAGTATGCTGCTGCTGATAATGATGATGATGCTGATTATAATCATGCTGGTGATGATGATGATGATGATGATGATGATGATGATGATGATGATGATGATGCTGCTGCTGCTGCTGATGATGATGATGATGATGATGATGATGACGATGAGCAGATGATGAGGATGTTTCGAGCGGTTTGCTGCTTTTAGCACTCCTAAAGGGGGGCGCCAGGAGGGATCTCACGGCCTCCGTTCGCGCCCAGATTGCGGGGATGTCTCGAGCGGTTTGCTTGTTTTGGTCGCCAACTTCCTTTGCTTTCGGAGCAGATTTGGAGGATGTCTCGTGCGAGGCGCTGGTTATCGCACCCCAGGGGGCCCAGATTTTGAGGACGTCTCGATCGGTTTGCTTGTTCTGGTGGCCAGACTCGTGGGCACATCTTTTTCCCAGGATGCCGCAGGAGGCTCCGGCAGGCTCCAGGAGGCTCCAGGAGGCCACATGAGGTCCCGCAGGAAGACTCAAGAGGCCACAAGATGTCCCAAGAGGCTCCAGGAGGCCCCAGGAAGTTCCAGGAGGCCTCAGGAAGCCACAGGAGGCCACAGGAGGCCACAGGAAGCGCCAGAAGGCCTCAGAAGGCAACAGGAGGCCCCGAGAGGCCCCAGGAGCAGGAGGCCTCAGAAGGCAACAGTAGTGGCTCCGAGCCCATTTGTTTTACGTATGCTCCTATAGATTGGGCCTCATCTGGAGCACGAATCCTTGGTGTTATACGTATGCTTACATATATTGTCCTCGATCCGCAATGTTTTACGTACGTCTGTTCCTATAGATTGGGCTTCTCCTGGGGCACGAATTCTCCCTAGGAGGTCCCAGGGGGCTCCAGGAGGCTCCAGGAGGCCACGCGAGGCTCCAGGAGGCCTCAGGAGGCAACTCGAAGCCCCAAGAGGCCCCAGGAGGTCCCTAGAGGCTCCTTGAGGTCCCAGGAAGCCCCATGAGGTTTCAGGAGGCCTCAGGAGGCCCCAGGCTCATGCGCAGAGACGCGAGACGCGCTCGTACTACTGAGACTCATTCACACTCCAATTCATTCGCAGTTAGATTCATGACCAGACCGTCACAATTCAAGCCCGCTTATATTCAAAAACTCTTGCGCCTAGACACTCACGGCGGACAGATCCATGCGAATCGATGCACATCTGGGGAGCTCCACGCAGTGAGTGAATATTCTGACGCCGCCGACTTCTTAGTCAGGCCTCCTCCCATTCTCGTCTCCTCCTATTTAGATTTGTTCATACTCAGGTTCCTTCGCACTCATATTACTCAGAATTGTTCACATTCAGATTCACTCATACTCGTACTGTCTCGGATTCACTCATGCCAGGACTCTGTCGCAGTCATTCGTTCAAATTCAGAAGACTCAGAGGATGTCTCAGGTGGGGCGCTGGTTTCAGCACCCTTAAGGGGAGCCGCCAGGGGGTATTGCATGGGCCCGATCGCGGCCAGTTTGTGGGGATGTCTCAGGCGGTTTGCCTGCTTCGGTGGCCAACATCTTCTGCGTGTGGAACAGATTGTGAGGATGTTTCTGGCGGGGCGCTGGTTTCAGCACCTCTAAGGGGAAGCCGCCAGGGGCTGTTTTCTCGGGCCCGTTCGCGGCCAGTTTGTGGGGACGTCTCAGGCGGTTTGCTTGTTTCGGTGGCCAACATCGTCTGCGTTTAGAGCAGATTGTGAGGATGTCTCCGGCGGGGCGCTGGTTTCAGCACAAGGGGAGCCGTCAGGGGGTATTGCACAGGCCCGTCCGCAGCCAGTTTGTGGGGATGTCTCAGGCGGTTTGGTTGTTTCGGTGGCCCACGTCGTCTGCGTATAGACCAGATCGTGAGGATGTCTCATGCAGTGCGCTGGTTTCAGCACCCGTCAGGGGAGCCGCCACGGGGTATGACATGGGCCCGTTCGCGGCCAGTTTGCGGGAATGTCTCGGGCGGTTTGCTTGTTTCGGTGGCCAACATCGTCTGCGTGTGGAACATATTGTGAGGATGTTTCTGGCGGGGCGGTGGTTTCAGCACCCTTAAGGGGAGCCGCCAGGGGCTGTCTGCACGGGCCCGTTCGCGGTCAGTTTGTGGGGATGTCTCAGGCAGTTTGCCTGTTTCGGTGCTCCTCATCGTCTGCGTTTAGAGCGGATTGTGAGGATGTCTCCAGCGGAGCGTTGGTTTCAGCCCCCCTACGGGGAACCGCCAGGGGGTATGACACGGGCCCGTTCGCGGCCAGTTTGTGGGGATGTCTCGGGCGGTTCGCTTGTCTTGTGGCTCAACATCCTTTGCTTTCGGAGCAGATCTGGAGCATGTCTTAGGCGGGGCGCTGGTTTCAGCACCCTCAAGGGCGCTGGTTCCCTTCTCTCTCTTGCTCCTCCGCTCCCTCTCCCGTGCGCTTCCTCCATGCACCTCTGTCGCGTCCTCGCTCGGGCCTCCGGGGGCCGTGTCGGCCTCGGGGGGGTTGGCCTCAGGGGGCAAATCCAGTGATCCACAGGACGGCGGCGCGTTCTTGGTTGAAGGCCGTCTTTGTTACACTCTGGGTGGGTGGGTGGAGAAATGGCTGATGACGCAGAGTGTTCTTCTGCGGCTGTGCAGGCTCGTGCAGGCTGGGGGATCGTTATCCGGGGCGTATTTGGTGATCCGCAGGAGGACGCTCTCGGTTGAAGGCCATCCCCATCCATCATATTTCTGAGTAGGGTCGAAGACCGCCATTGTTCGTCATCCTGTGTGTGAGTGGAGCAACGACTGATGACGCAGAGTGCTCTTTTGCGACAGTGGAGAATCGTGCAGGCTAGACGGATCGGTGTGCGTGGCAGATCTGGTCGTCCGCATAATGAAAAAGCGTTCTAGGTTGAAGGCCGTCATCATCCATCATCTTTTTGGGTTGGGTTGAAGTCTGCCATTGTTCTTTATCCTGTGTGTGAGTGGAGCATTGGCTGATGACGCAGAGTGCATTTCTGCGACATTGGTGACTCGTGCAGGTGGGGGGATCGGTATGCATGGCAGATCTGGTGGTCCGCATAAAGAAAGGGCGTTCTAGGTTGAAGGCCATCCTCATCCATTATCTCTGTGAGTGGGGGATCCTCCTCAGCGCCAGCGGGAGGCCGCGCGAAATGGAAGAACCCTTGTGCTGAAGGGGACCGGGTGATCCGAGTATTGGCAGGGCGTTCAAGGTTGAAGGCTGTCCTCATCCATCACTTGTGTGAGTGGACGAGCGCCGTCTACGAGACGATTGATAACCATATCCAGGTGCCGGAGGGGTACGCTGCTTATTCCAGCGCGGGTGCGAACGAAGGCGACGGCGTCAACAGGGCGCTGGGCGACGCGCGGGACATGGTGGAAAGGGGCCGACCAAGAGTCCGACATGGTACAGCTGGCAGATATGAGGTGACAGGCGTAGTGATTCGCGCTGTGCCACTCGCCCCTCGCCCCGATGCCAGGTGCATTTTTTTTCTTATTCTTCCCCGTTGCCAACTAGGCCCGATGATAAATGCGGACGGCCAAAGCCGAGGCGCATACCGCGAGGGTGCCATTTGTAGCACTTGCCTTTTGCACGCCATGTGCCTGCGGCTTCTGTTTGTGTTGCCAGCTAGGCCCGGGCCCGATGCGATATTCGGACGGTAACACTTGTCTTTCGTACTTTTCCTTGGTGTTTCGGACGCGGAACCAGTGGAATTCTTTGCCTTGGCAGCACATGCGCTAACATTTGCATGTGAAAGAATGTGTACATTGTTGAAAGTACAGCCGGGCTGCGCGCACGTGTGTTCGTCGTTCACATTGACGCGCTCTTAGATCACATGATCATAGATGTATGCTCATCGCGGCACTATCCTACAACATGAGGTGCACATATAGCTCAGATGGCTAGACGCCCAATTTCACATCCCAAGCACAAAGCATGTTTTTTCAATATATCCACGTATGGGGAGCTCCACGCAGTGAGTAAAAAAGACTTGGCCAACGAGGATGCCCGCGCAGCGCTTGTATCTTCCCTGACACGCGGGCGGCCGTTGGGCATCGTCGGCGATCCTTCGATGGGGAAAAAGGGCCGACGCATAGACGCGACTGCGCTACGTTGGGCGACGGCCTGGTGTGTGCGGCTTTTAGGAAAGGGGCTGGGGGAGGCCATTGGGTGGATAGGGGTGGGAGGAGAGGAGGGGGAGGGACTTCGGGGGCACTGCGCCATGCCGCCCGGCGTGTCAACGGCAGGCGACGCGGCCAGCGAGTGCGCGGAGCTCTCTTTCGGCGTTGCCGCGCCCGGGCCTGGCCGCCTCTCTTGCTCCCCTTCCGCTGGCCCGAGTGAAGCCCGCCGGTCGCGTCCCTCCTTTTTGACCTCCCCCTTCCCCTTTGACTCTTTTGTTTCCCCTGAACCTGCCCCCCCTCTTCCCTTCGGTCCCTTCCTCCACCCCTGCGGAGGAGGAGGGGGAGGGGGGGGGCGGCGAGGGCGAGGGCGAATGCGAGGAGGAGGAGGCATAATAAAAATAATAATATTTAGAAAAGGAAAAAAGGAAAATGAGGATTCCAGCAATGATAAACATGAGAAGCATCGTCGTAGTAATATCGAGAAGATAAAGAGAAACATTATAATCAATGCGAATACTCATTTCATTATTAGTCTTAAGAAGAGTAATGCCAGTAATACTACGACGGGTCATACATATTGTATTGATCATACACATACCAATATTCATTTTAACAACAATAAGAAGAGTACGAACAATAATATCATGCAATCACTATCATCGTGAATTTTGTTAACAGCCCGAATAAAAATAATAAGAATACTAACTCGATGCATAAGGGTATTCAGAAATATATGTCTCATTGTAACGCTAGGGCTAGTTAGCATGAGTGAGAAGAACAATCCCGATAATACTCCTTTGACGAATAATAACAATATTATAACATCAAAACATAACATTACTCGTATCACGCATTCCGATTTGAAGCAAGGTCTTACTCATCATACGCATGCCATTATTGAAAACATAATAAATAGTAATAAGAATGTGTTACGGATGCGAATGATAAAGTAAGAATGCGAATGCGAATGCAAATGCCAGTATTATTAGTATGATTCATATGGAAGAGGTTATTGAGAATATTCAGCAACATATCTTCACGACTGTGCATATCGATAATCATAGTGTAGAGAACAAGAAAACGAACGCTACTACTAATTTGGTATCAAACATCATATTACAATGTTATTGAGACGGGGCAAACTGAGACGACTACTAATATTAAGCATACGAAGAAGAGTAGCGACAACGCGAATAGTAATAAGAAGAGGAGGCGTAATCCTTTCTATACACAATGAAAATAATAGTCGTAGTAGCAATACGAACAGAATTAATACTGATATTAATACTAATAATGCGAATCATTGGAATAAGACGAAGAGTGCACATGATATTAATATTGCAGAATAGTATTGCAGAATAGTACTTGTCATACTAGTATTAATAGTACTAACGTTAATATTAGTAACAACAGCCATACAAGTAGTCAGATGACAATGTTAATCGACTATAAATACTAATGCCCATACTAATGCTAATCATAATACTAATGTTACTACTAATGTTCATACTAATACTCATACTAATATTAATACTACTACTAATACTAATACTAATACTAATACTAATACTAATACTAATACTAATAGTAATACTAACACACACACACTAATACTTATGGTGCGTCTAAAATTCACGCGGATACTAGTATTACTATTGCGACCACAATTACTAATACTAATACTAATATGAATACTCATACTAATATTCATATTAATAATACTACTAATGCTACTACTACTACTACTACGAATACCAATACTAATACGAATACGGGTGCTAATACTAATACTAATAATAGTACTAATACTAATACTAATACTACTACTAATATTAATACTAATATTCATACTAATACTAATACTAATACTAATACTGATACTGATACTGATACTAATACTAATACTAATACTAATACTAATACTAATACTAATACTAATACTAATACTAATACTAATACTAATACTAGTGCTATTACTAGTACTAGTACTAGTACTAGTACTAGTACTGATACTAATACTACTACGCACACTAATATTATTACTGCTACTAATACGAATACTAATACTAATTTGAATTTTAATACTAATACGAAAGACTAATGCGAATGCCAAAGCTAGTACTGTTACTAATACTAATATTCATACTAATACGAATACTAATATCAATACACATAATAATACTAATTATCCCAGTGCGGCCCAACCTAGGAGTTGGAGCCTCTAGGAAAGCAACATTACTAGGAGCGGTAAACGCCGTCCCCCTCCTTCTCCTCATCGTCGTACTTGTAACAGTAGCGGTAGTAGTAGCATGGAACATACGTGCGCACACACACATATCAATATAGTACACACATATATATAGCAGCAGCAATAGTGGATGCTGTGTTGCGTTATGTTATGTTTTGCTATGCTATGCTATGCTATGCTATGCTATGCTATGCTATGCTGCGCAATGCTATGCTGGGCTAGCTTAGGCTAGGCTATGCTATGCTATGCTGCGCTGCGCTATGCTATGCTGCGCTATGCTATGCTGCGCTATGCTATGCTATGCTATGCTATGCTATGCTATGCTGTGCTATGCTTTTGCTTTGCCTTCGCTTTTGCCTTTACTTTTGCCTTTGCTTTTGCTTTTGCTTGGCACCCATGGAGCGCAACTGGGGGAGCCGCGCGTTTGCTTTTACCTTTGCTGTTGCTTTTGCTTGGCTCCCAGGGGACTGGGGGAACCGCCCGGGGCACTTTCCACTGCCCGGCCCCTTTAAGCTAGAGAGTAAGAACCCTTCTAGGCAGAGCCTAGGTAGGGAATAGTAATACTAATACTAATACTATTATCAATACGAATACGAATGCGAATGCTAATGCTAATACTAATACTAATACTAATACTAATACTAATACTAATACTAATACGTATACTGATACTAATACTGATACTAGTACTAGTGCTAATACTAATACCAATACTAATGCTAATATCAATATTAATACTAATGCTTATACTACTAATATTAATACTTGTACTGATACACATACTAATACTCATACTAATACTAATACTAATACTGGTACTGGTACTGATACTAGTACTAATATTAGTGGCAAGACTAAGACTAAGACTAAGACTAAAACTAAGATTAATATTAAGACTAAGACTAGTATTACTATTAATATTTATATTAATACTAATACTAATACTAATACTACTAATAATAATAATACCAATACTAATACTAATACTACTACTACTAATACTAATACTAATACTGATACTGATACTGATACTGATACTGATACTGATATTCATATTAATACTAATACTAATACTAATACTAATACTAATACTAATACTAATACTAATACTAATATTAATACTAATACTAATACTAATACTAATACTAATACGAATACTAATACTAATACTAGTACTGATACTAATACTAATACTAATACTAATATGAATATTAATACTAATCATAATATTAATACTAATACTAACACGAATACGAATGCGAATGCGAATACGAATACTAATACTATTACTAATACCAATACTATTACTAATACTCATACTCATACTAATACTAATACTAATATTAATATTAATATTAATACTGATACGAATACTGATACACACTAATACTAATGCTAACACTAATACCAATACTAATACTACTACTAATATTAATACGAATACGAATGCTAATATTAATACGAATACGAATACTATTATAAATACTAATATCAAACGTAATACTAATACTAATCTATTACTAGTACCAATACTAATAGTTTTAACACATTGTATAACATATAATGATATTGGTTATCCGGATACAAATGTTAATACTGTTTGCAACAATAACAATAGTAATGAAGGAGGAGGAAAAGGAGAAGGAGGAGAGGGAGGAGGAGGAGGAGGAGGAGGAGGAGGAGGAGGAGGAGGAGGAGGGGGAGGAGGAGGAAAAGGAGGAAAAAGAGGAAGAGGAAATCGGGGGCGGGCGTCTGGGAGGCGACGGGTCTAGGATTCAGGTCCCGGGGCTCCGGGGCCCTTGGGGCAGGGCCGGGGGCCAGGGCCGCGGCCAGGGCCAGGGCTGGGGCCGGGGTCGCAGCCGGGGCTGAGGTTGGGGCCGGGGGGCCATGGGTGGGGCTGGCGGGGCTGGGGGTCCAGGGCTGGGGCTGGGGCTGGAGCTGGGGCCGAGGCGGGGAGAGGGTTCCTGAATCCCCCTGCCCACAGGGAGACCACTCCTTTGTTCTCGTTCGCCATAGTGGTGGCCGCCCGGGGGAGGGGAGGGGGGGAGGGCAACGGGGCCCCGGGGGGGCGATAATCTGACCTGGGAGCCCCCTTCCTACGCCACCCCGTCAGGGAGGGGAGAAGGGGAGGGAATCGACTTATCTACGACGTTTTGTTACGGTGCTTCTTTTCTCTGTTCGTTTCTAGATTTCCTCGGGAATGGCGACGACGACGACGACGACTACGAAAACGACGACAGCGTCTCACACGCGCCGACTGGGTCGGCGGATTTTTTTCCAAGGCCCTCTCGCGCAAGAGCAGGGCGCACCTTCCTGTCCCTGCCCGTGAGCGGTGCCCAAACTGGGGGCGCCTAGCATTTCTTCGCGCGGGTATTCTTGGCCATGCCTCCGACCAGTTGAATGTCTTCCGTGCGACATGCGCCGTGTCCATCTACGCCCACTTTTCCCTGCTGCCCTCGCATCCTTCCAACGCTTTCCAGGATCCTACGCGCTTCAGATCATCGTCCGACGCGTGCCAGAGCGACAGCCTCCTCCCACCCGACAGCTTCCTGCCCCCAGACGGATTCATCCGCACGCCCCAGGCGTTGAAGCTGTCCCGCCCGTCCCTCCACTCGGCGACGAGCCCAGGGGAGAAGCGAGAGGGGGCAGGCCTTCTCAGACGGCGGCGGGGCTTCTCAGGAGGGCCTGGCGGCCTCGGAGAGGACCCACGAGGCCTCCCAGAAGGCGCCAGGGCCCGCCGCCGTTGAGAAGGCTCACCCCCTCTCCTCCTTCTCCCCTCCTCCTCCTCCTCCTCCTCCTCCTCCTCCTCCTCCTCCTCCTCCTCCTATGCAACATCATCTCCCCTGTCCCCCCAAAGCTTCCCAACCCTGGAATCGTTCGAGCTCCCTCCCCTCGTTCCCAGCCGTCCCGCCCTGGAGGCCTGGCGGCGAGTCCCGAAGGGTCTCGTTTGCGTCGCAGGCGCCGCTGGCAGCCCTGCTGCGTGCGGGGAGGGGTGGGCTTGTGGGTCCGACGGGGGCGGGGTGCCGAGAGGAAAGGGCGGAAGGGGGGGGGGGAAAGGGGAGGGGCGAAGGGTGGACGGGGAAAGGGACAGGGGGAGGCGGAGGGAGGGGTGAGGGCAAGCTAGGGCAAGCTAGGTGCGCGAGCGTTTTTTTCTGACGTCCTACCAGTCCCATCCCTGACTATGGTGTAGATCTCCTCTCTATTCGCACAGCCAGATGTCGTTGCATGGCATAGCATTACATGGCATAGTATGGCGTTGACCATCAAAGTGTACCATGACAGAAGCATGGCGTTGAACATCAACGTGTGTCATGACAGAGCATGGCGTGGCACTGCGAGGTCAAGCACTGCATATCATTCCCCAATCAGAGCTTGCCTCTGTAGGGGTCCTGGTGCCCGGGTGCCCGGGTGCACGGGTGCCCGGGTGCCCGCGTGCCTGGGTGCCTGGGTGCCCAGGTGCCCCGGTGCCCAGGTGCCCGGTAGCTCTAGCGGATTCATATGGTTATTGTTAGGTGAGGTGCGGCGCCGATTTCGGCGGCTCGCCCGGGTGCCAGGGTGCCCAGTAGCCCTATAGCGCTATAGCGCTATAGCTTTATAGCCTTATGGCCCTATAGCCCTGTAGCCTTGTAGCCCTATAGCCCTATAGCCCTATAGCCCTACAGCCCTCTAGCCCTAATACCCCTATAGCCCAATTCGCCAATAGCCCGATAGCCCTATAACCTTATAGCCCCATAGCCCTATAGCCCTATAGCCCTATAGCACTATAGCCCTATAGCCCTATAGCCCTATAGCCCTAATAGCCCTATAGCCCTATAGTACTACAGCCCCATAGCCCCATAGCCTTATGGCCTTATAGCCCTATTGACTTATAGCCCTATAGTCCCATAGCCCCATAGCACTATAGCCCTATAGCCCTATAGCCCTATAGCCCCATAGCCTCATATCTGTCTAGCCCTATAGCCCTATAGCCCTATAGCCCCATAGGCCTACAGCCCTACAAATATTCGGATTGTTATTTTCCAGTATCATTTCATAGCAGCAACAGGCATGGCATCGCACAGCGGAACACAATATAGCATTGCATTGCATGCCATGGCATGGCACTGGAAATGAGGCCAGCGCTGCAGCGGGAGCACGATTCGGCACGAGCGGAAGCGCGGAAATGAGGCCAGCGCGGCAGCGAGAGCACGATTCGGAACGAGCGGAAGCGCGGAAATGAGGCCAGCGCGGCAGCGGGAGCACGATTCGGATCGAGCGGAAGCGCGGAAATGAGGCCAGCGCTGCAGCGGGAACAGCAATTTGGAGGAACCGAAAACGTCCGGATTGGAACAACAAACAACAATCCAGCCCGCAGGCATCTTAAACATAGAAACAATACACTTGGCTCAATTGTAGCCGTTTTGGATCAAGTGTAGCCATCTTGGTTCAAGGGTAGCAATTTTGGCTCCAGTGTAGGCATCTTGGCCCAAGGTTGGCTGAAGGTGGGAGGGACGAGGGAGGGTCAAGGGTCACATTACTGTATATTCCTGGCCTATACTCCTTCGCACGCACTTCCGATGGCTCTTAACCTCGAATCTATGGGGCAGCTCTTGGACCAGAAATTCGAGACGAACATGGCACCCATCAAGGAAACTATTACGAACATCGACGCTAAGTTGGAACAACATGACCTGCGGCTCACCGTCCTCGAGGAAACCATCAAGAAATCAGGAACAGCTTCTGGGAGTTCGAGTTTCGTCCCGAGTTATTTTGATGTCCGAGGCTTTTGCATGTGGGATGATCGCAAGTCGAAGGGCATCACCCGACCCCAAGCGAAGGACTTGGTTAGACATCTGAAGGCGCAGCTCCCAGAGGACCTGCAGGAAAAGATCTGGGACATCGAGGTCTGGGGGTCCCGCGTACATAAGTTCATGGTTCGCGTCACCCCACCATATGCTACTGAGATCGCGGTTCTCTTCAAGGAGCTCCTCATGCAGGGAGGCGCCGACGCGCAGTTTAACGGCAACGACCTTTGCACGAACATGCAGAAAGAGCCTGAAGAACAATGTCTTTTCGAAACAGGGGGTAAAGCTCGAGCGTCCCCCGAGACGAAGATCAAGGAAACGGACCCAACGGCGACCGTTCGTCATTCAGGCCCCCCCGACCACCGCTTCACGGTGAAGAACTCGTCCGGGGAGATTGAGATGGCAGGCCGTCGAGTCCGATCTCAGGGCGTTCCGGTCCAAGTGAGATGGCCGGACACCGTCACAGTCGTCGCTTGGAATACCTGTAAGAAAGGGGTTTCCGCCGAGAAGAGGTTGTGTAAAGTGTTTCGGCGTTTTACGGGGGACCTTGTGGCGCTCTTACTGGAAGTACCTACATGGGGCGATTTGCATGAATACACTTACTGGAGTCATGCCGTTTTGCTTTCTGGGTAATGTGAGTGTCCCTTTACTATTCCTAGATCCAGGATGCGGGCGCTCAGGGAGTTCAGTTCTGGGGACTATTGGTTTGGTGCTGCAGTCGGTAACAAAATTTTTCATGTCTGCTCACTTTTTAGACCATCTCGACGACGATGGGAGGGCGCAGCGGGTGTAGGAAACTTCGTTGTTCGCCCGGCGAGCTCGTTTAGCTTACTCCTCCGGTTCGGTGGCACCAATGCTGCCCTGAAGGACACGACGAAGGACTTCCGGGATAGCTTCCAGCTTGCAGTGCTGGATGCTAAGGACAACCTCGCGATCCACCTCCGCGCACGCCGTCTCTTCAAAGGGGTCCCCAAATCCCTTCCCCGCTGGCAGGAGGTCGGCGCCGACCTCCTGGAGCACCTCTTTCCTGGCGGGACCCTCCCAACAGACACCCAGGTTGCACTTCAACTGAGCAACACGCTGCGGCGCGACCACAGCAGCATGCAGAACCTGGTGCCTGCGGCGGCCGCGCGCGAGCTCATGACGCCCCTCCTCGGCGACGCCTCCGGTATCGAGGCCGATCTCCAGAGACTGACAAGGGCGATCCTCACGTAGACACCCCAGGATCAGGGGCAGCTCTTGAAGCCGGCTGGGGCCATCTGTAAGTGTGCCGAGGCAGGTGTTCTGCAACATGCCGTGTCAATCGCTATGCCGATCGACCCGCTGCCGAGGTGCCGCGCTGCTGCGCACCTCGTAGATGTGTGGACGCACCCCCTCTTGAAGGGCAGGTGGCGGCAGGCCATCTCGGACATCCAGGTGCTCTACCCCCCTGGGAGTGTTATTTTCTCAGGCAAGCGCGCGCCCATTCACTGCCAGAAACAACTGGCGTTCGTCCGGATAGGCAAGACCAGTCCGCAGTGCAACCTGAAGCTCATCGACTGGAAGGGCGGCGACTTCTTCACTTTCGACGCGGGCGCCAGTATCAGGATCGACCTTCCAGACCAGCACAAATGGGAGGTATACGAATTCCCCCCTTCGCTCAACCTACCCCAGCTCCTCCACGTTGACCCTCCCACCAGCAGTCCGGGCTCAACGCATTCCACGCGCCGGGCGATGATGCAGATTCATGTCCGAGCAGACTGCTAGGATGCCCTCGCAAACGAGACGATCATCCGCTGGCTCTGGCGTGTCCTGAGCCCTTTCTGGCCGGTGGTGGGGCAGGTGGGGGCGATGAGCAGCAGCGCTGCGAGGCTGGTCGAAACGATGGGCGCACAAGCTGGATACAATCTCCGGGGCCCCTGCGCCAGTGCGCTGGTCACCTCCAACAAGCTGCTGCTCGTGGAGACGCACCGCGCGGCAGAGGAGTGGAGCACCCGGCAGACGGGGGAGTGGCGCCGCGACCCCGCCACAGCGGCGGAGAGGATCAAACGCCACCCTTCTGACAAGACGCCGGGGGCGATCGCGCAGGTCCAGGCCACTCAGAACCAGCTCGCAGTGGCCCCAACTACGGCTCTCCACGCGGATGGGCCCGACGACGCGCGCCTGGACTCCCTGCGGGTGACGGTTGAGCTGCCGCTCGGGGTCGCTGGCCCGTGCAAAATGTGGATGCCGCACTTCGTGAAGTGCGTCGGCGACGTCTGCCCGCTCGAGCTCAATGAGGCGACAGAGGAGGAGGCGCTGGACTGGCACCGGTGGCGGCCGATCATGAACTTCGACAGCGGTTGGTCTGGCAAGATTGTTGTGCAGCTGCTCAACCGCCAGGAGTTGACGACGACGCGCGCGGCCATGCAGGGGCGTGGGGCCCGCATCCTGGACCACGTGGCTGCCATTAACGCCAGCTCGGACCGCGTCGGGCTGGGCGTGCACCATTGACCGGCCAACGACGCCGCCCCACGACGCTCGTGGCGCCCGATTGGATGCTTATTGAGTTCAAGCTGCTGACCTCTCCTTCCTCACATCCCTCGCCCGCCTCCAGTGGCGGCGACGCCAACCGCGCTGATGGATTGTCCGCGCGCCGGCTCACCGCCGCCCCTGCATCCTCCAACAAACGACGGCGCCTACAAATTGGTCCGCAACTTCCGCCGCCGCCAACGCCGCCGAGAGGACGAAAGAGAGACCAGTCGCAGAGCCTGCCTCCGGAAGCTCGACGGCCCCACGCTGGCCCCGCCCCGCCCCCCGTCGACCCCTCGACGGCCCCCCGACGACCCCGCGATGGCCCCTCTACGAACCCCAGTCGACCCCGCGACGACCCTATGACCCCCCGTCGACGCGGCCCGACGCGGCCCGACGCAGCCCGACGCACCCCTCCGCCACCCCCATTTCTCTCTCCCGACTCCCAGGCGCCCCTTCGACGATCCCCCGTCGACCCCGCGATGGCCTTCCCACGTGCCCCAGGCGACCCCGCGAGGACTCCATGACTCCCCGCTGACGTGGTCTGACGCTGCCCGAGTCAGCCCGACGCAGCCCGACGCCACCCCCGCATATGATTTCCGGCCCCCCGACGCCCCCTCGACGTCCCACCGACAACCCCGCGATTGCCCCCCCACGAGCCCCAGACGACCCCGCGACCACCCCGCGACCCCTCGTCGGCGCGGCCCGACGCGGCCCGACGCAGCTCGACACAGCCCGACGCACCCCTCGGCCACCCCCATTTTTTCTTCCCGACCCCCAGGTGACTCACATACCCGCGCTGACGGACCTTGGCTCGCACCAGCACGCGTGCCCTACAGTGGCAACTACCTTGGATGCTTCTGGAACGCACAGGCGCTCTGGGTAGCCCGCTTTTCGGCGCAGAACACCAATTTCGGCCTGCTGACGAGGCTCTTGGAAACCCGCGACTTCTCCGGCATCGTGGAGACCCACGGCGCCGACGGGAAGGTTCGAGCAGGGCACCTCCCCGCCGGGGCGGTTGCCTTTTGGTAGCATTTATCTGGGCGCCATGCGGGTTTGGGGCTTATCCTCAAGCTAGATTTCCTGAAGAACTTCCATCCCGTGGAGGACGACAATTGGAAGGAACTGGACCCTGGTCGGTTGGCGGTACTTCGACTCACGGGCCCGATGGGCAACTTTGACCTCTTCGTGGCCTACCTCGCCACCGGCGGGGATCGGGGAAAATACCTGGCAAGCAGAAGGACAACCATCGACATTCTCCACCGCAGCGCGAAATCTCAGACGAGCGCTCTCAGTTATCTACGTGGGAGATTGGAACTTCGTTATGGGAGAAAATGACAGATGTTGCAAAACATCCGGGGCGTGGACAGGCGCGCACGACGAGAATGAGAAGCTCGCTTTTGAGAGTGTGGCACTCGAGCCACGCGCCATGCACGAGCTCGAGCAAGACCTTTTCACGTTCCATGGCGGCCGTCATCTTGCCCTTTTGGGCAGAATTTACAGCAGGCGCCGCGCCGTGGAGCAGATCGACAAATCGTGGACGTGCACTGCTCATCGACGCACGCGCCTGTCGGGCCATCGGCCGACTAGCTTCGCCTGCCGCCAGCGGGGGGGACTTCCGGGCGACGCCCCAAGCTTCCGCCCCGCCGCTTCCGCAATGACCGGTGGGCGAAATGTGTGGCGGCGGAGCTGGCAGAACTCGAGAAGGCCGACGCCGGGGCCAACCCTATCAGACGGCTAGTCTTGGCCAAGCGGGCCATGCGCACGGTCTCCGACAACGTGCAGGCCGAGGGCGTCGCGAGCCCCGCGGTGGCGACGGAGGGCCAACTCAGTTGCGCCCTCAGCTTCACCCGCGCCGCCGAGCACATTCGCATGCAGACCATGCGCAAGAGAGCCGCTGACTACCTTATCATTCGGCGGTTTGTGGGCCCGACCGACCCGGAGGCGCGCAGTCGCGATGGATTTCAGCAGCTGAAGGGCCATGCGCTTGATCTCGCGCGCCGGTCGATCACGGAGGATATGAGGGACCTCGCCGCGTCCCAATTGGAACCCAACGACCGTCGCGGGCGTGCCCCCAGAGAACACGCACTACGAAAGCTGAAACGGCTCGTTCCATGCGCCAGCGACGCCATCGAGGCCGTCGAGGGCCCGGAGATCGGCATGTGCACGACCCCAGAAGAGATCGCCCGAGCGTTGCAGCGCCACTGGAGCAGGGTATTCAGTCAAAAACCGATCGACACCGAGCTGTTGCAAGAGTGGCTGACTTCGCTGCCGCACATCGGCCCCTAACATCCCCAACCATCACCTCCCGCGCCGCCGCCTGCGACTCCCTCCCCGCCTCCCTGCCCCGACGCCTCTCCGACCCGCGACCCTAGGCGCCGCCGCTCCGCCGCGGCTGGCTTGCCGAGTCACCGCGGGGCCAGCCTGCCGACCGACGGCGAGGCGTGGAGGGTCACCCGCCAAGACGTCGAACATACAATTTCCCACAGTGGGAACACCATGCCGGGCCCCGACGGCATCCCTTTCCAAGCTTGGCGTCGCTTGGGCCCTTTGGGGGTTGACATTTTGACCGCAGTGGCGTTGGCGCTCGGAGGCGACGACGCCGAAGCCCTATTGACGGACGGGTACCGGGGCGAACCCAAAGAGCTAGCCCACAAGTTCAATCTGAGCACGTTGGTCTGCCTGCCCAAGAAGCCGGCGGGCGCGTCGGCAAGCGGCGTGCCGTTTTTCCGTCCAGAGGGGGCGCGACCGCTCTCGATCGTGAATTGCGACAGCCGCCTCATCGCCAACGCGGTGCGGCGCAGGCGGGGGAACCATCTCGCAGATTGGGTTTTACAGCGACAACAGGGTTTTCTCCAGAAGCGCTCCATCATCGCCAACCTCATCGGGCTCGAAACTGACGTGATGGTCACGGCGCTAACTCAAGATCATGGGGCTTGCATCTTGCTGGACTTCCAGGCGGCCATCCCTTCTATCTCTCAGGAACTCTTGTTTCAGACTTTGGGGCGCATCGGACTCCCTGCCGAGGCACTGCGCACGGTCCGCCACCTTTACCGCAATGCCTCGTGTAGGATAGCCTGTGGTGGGCGGGACGTGCGAAGGCTTCAGCTTGGGAGGTGGGGAGAGGCAAGGCTGCCCGTTGTCGCGGCTGCTCTACGCGGTCGTCGCAGACGTACTGTGGGACATGATATACGAAACGTGCCCTGGGGTGAGATGCTACGCCTGCGCCGACGACGCCGCCCTGGTCATCGACGACGTCCAGCGCAGCGGACACCATCTCAAATGTTTGTTCGACGAGTTGTTCCGAATCTCCGGTCTGGAACTCAACTTGGCGAAATGCGTCGTGATTCCTTTGGGCGGCGGCGACGTGCAATAATTCCAACGGCAGCTCTCTCGCAACGTCCCCGCCTGGGGCCGCATGCAGACCCGGTTGACGGGCAAGTACTTGGGCTTCGTGATCGGTCCCGAGAAGGGCGAAGACAGCTGGTCCGAACCTCTGGAAAAATGCGCCGCCAGATGCCGCTGGTGGAGCAACCTCGGGGTCGGCCTACACTACAGCGCTCTCATCTACAACGCATGTGTCGACTCCGTGCTCAGCTTCGTCATGCAGCTGGAGCCTCTCCCGCCCACGGCGCTGCCACAAGAGGAACGCGTGCTCCGGCGGATGGCTCAAGGGCCCGGTGCTTGGTGCGAAAAGGAAGACCTTCGTGCTCAAGGAGCGTTTTGGCATGCGTAAGTCTTTCCACTCGCTCGCCTGGCTGGCCCTTGCGGCCCGGTGCAAGGTGAGCTATTTCGACCGTGCCTCCAGCGGTGGCCGTTTGTGGGAACTCTCTAACAGGCTCACGCACGCTTGCAACCATGGGCCGCGCGCTCCTGTGCTCGCGCGGTGGCAGGGATGGTTCAGCAGCGCTTTCGTGTTCAATTTCGAGCGTGCCCACGAGTGTGTTCAGTCCGAGTTGAGCGGGGTGCTGCCTCCAGGCCATTCAGTTGGATGAGGCATTCCGGACAAACTTCTAGAAGGTAGTCTACCAGGGCATCGTGAACAAGGAGGCACCCCACGCTTTGATGCGGGTTCGGCACAAGCTCAACAAACGACGTCTATGGGATGCATCTCTTTCCCCGCACACTCCGGGCACCAGCGTCTTGCAGAACGCGCCGCGTTACGGTTCGAGCCGGGCGCTTCGGCAGCTCCACGAGTTGAAGTTGGCCGTCGCGCCGCGCGTGCAGTCGGCGGTATTCAGCACGATGTGGAACAGGTGGACAACCCGCCGGCGGTTCCAACAACGCCATGCCCCGACCAACAGGTGCATGCTCGGATGCCATCCAGGGGCGGAGGATTCGATAGAGCATTACTGCAAATGCCTGGCCACGGCTCGGCTTTTACAGACGCGCCTGAACCTGGACGCGACGCTGTTCTGCAACTTCCACACGCTCATGTTGACCAACATTCACATCAAGGACAAAGAGACGCTGTGCAAGATTGGTCTGCTGCTCTATGCCGTCTACAACGCCACGAACAGCAGCTGGCACGACCGAGTGGTGCCCCAGGACATCTCCGACTACCTCTGCCAGTTCCTCAGAGAAGGGGCCAAGGGGCACAGGTACTCTATGAAAGTGCTCGACAACACCTTTTGCGTGAGTGCCGGCCCCGCTCTGTGACGCGCGTCGGCTTCTCCCTCCTCCTCCTCCTCCTCCTCCTCCTCTTGTCCGCCTGCTGCTTTAACAGTTTTCGCGCCGGTTTGGGCGCAAACTGTTTTAACAGTTTTAACGCCGGCCGCGCCCTCCGCAAGGCCACTGGCCGGAGACCCTGTCTGGGGAGGGCGCCCCAAAAGTTCCGCCCCCCGGGGGGGGGCCCCGTTCTGCTAATCGGTTTCCTGGCCGCGTGGCCGATATTCGGCCGGTCTGGGCATGCCCCGACCAAATGGCTGGCTGCCCAACGGCGCCGGTCACAAGCCCCCCCGGGGGCTTCACGTCCGGGTGGG